GCCCCCCCCACCCCAGCGACTGGTTTTTAACACGATTCTAACCTGACACGCTCAAAGGAGTTAGATGAAAGGTAACTCATTGCCCCAGAAGATTATCATCTCGTTTTGAACACAAACTTCACAACCGATCCGTCGATGCGAACCGTACGACATCTGAAAGCTGACTTTTTACCTCAGATACCGGTTTTCCGGGGTGCAGCCGTTGCCAGGCTCCCCAGGCCGACACCAGTGTGCTGCTCCGCTGCAACCCGCTCCGCCCGCGGGGCCATGCAGGAAGGGACGGGAAACGCGTCCGGACGCGGGAACCGGGCTCGTTATTCAGGAAGAAGCGGCCCAAGTCCTCAGAGCCTCGAAACCCAGCCCGGGTTGCAGGCGGCGGAGTCCGAACAAGCAGCATCAACGGACTGGATCTGATGGGGTGCGTTGCCGTGTTCTTAGCAGAGGCACTGACGGTACCACAGACGGGCTCCTTCTTCAGAGGGTGACACTGTCACCCCAACGGCTGCAGCCACGCGCAGAAGCAGGAGACTTCTCCGGCTGAGCCGAGCGTGCAGCATCGCTGCCTGCCTGCTCTCCGTGGGGCTGGAACTGCAGAGCAGAGTGACCTGACGGTCTGACCCATCGTGTCCCGCTGGTGGCGGGAGTCACCTCCCTCGGGCACAGGCTGAGAGAGCTGGGGGTATCCCAATCTGGTTTAGAAACCAGGAAGAAGTTCTTCCCGCAGAGGGTGGGAGCACTGGGACAGGCTGCCCAGAGAAGCTGTGGATGCCCCATCCCTGGAGGTGTCCAAGGCCAGGCTGGATGAGGCTTGGAGCAACCTGGTCTAGTGGAAGGTGTCCCTGCCCATGGCAGGGGGTGGGACTGAGTGGTCTTTAAGGTCCCTTCCAACCCAAACCAGTCTGTGATTCGATGATCCAGCCTGGAGAAGAGAAGGCTGTGGGGAGACCTCACTGTGGCCTTTCAGAACTGAAAGGGGGCTTCTAAGAAAGATGAGGACAAACCTTTCAGCAGGGCCTGTTGCAATAGGACAAGGGGTAATGGCTTTAAACCAAAAAGAACTTTTTTATGACGGGGGTGGTGAAACCCTGTCACAGGGTGCCCAGAGAGGTGGGAGAAGCCCCATTCCTGGAAACATTCAAAGCCAGGTTGGATGGGGCTCTGAACAACCCCATCTGGTTTAAGATGTCCCTGCCCATGACAGGGGGGCTGGAATCCATGACCTTTAAAGGTCCCTTCCAACCCAAACCAATTCCATGATTCCACCTTAACTCGACTAAGGCTTTATCTAGACACAGAGCTATTTTAGCATAACAAAAAGTGGCTTTTAAATGCATGTTACATAAAGCAATGCCAGCTTTTATTTCGGACTCTTTAAAACTCTCTCTGTAAGCCAGACCAGGTTTAAATTAATGACACAAGCTGAACCTTGTGCCTAATTGCAGGTACCCAAGAGCTTGCACTCGTTTAAGTATACATTTAGGTTAAACACTTTATTGGAAAGGTCACACAAAGCAGAAATGACGAAAAGGCATCCCCGTCCCATCATTGTACTTTCAAGGAGGAGGGCTTCCCTGCTGCGGGAAGGTATACGCAACCGTAACTTTAGGAAGTAGGTGATGTCTCTGCTGAGATTATTTTGAACATCTTGCACAAAGCGAACCGATCTCACCTTTCAAAGTAGGATCAAGGTGCCAATAAACCACCTTAGACAGTACTGAATGTTAGATACAGCGCAGAAACACTGGAAAAGCCGGGAAACAGTCCCTCTCTGTAAAACGTACTATGCTGACTTCATCTATTGTTTTCTTGGTGTCTCACGCTAAACACATTTACCACCATATACACACTCTGCCTTTTCTGAACTAGAAGTACGGAAAAAATCCAGCAGGGCCTATGTTACACACTTTAGTTTCCATTTAATAATACAATCTAATAGTCAAGGTTATTCCTATAGATCAGACTTCTCTCAACACACAAAGCTGCAGGTGTTTCCAAACTGTCAATGCACCATCTCCCCTGCTGCCTTACACGCGAGCCACCAGCAGTTAAAATCAGTTTATAGTCTCCCACTCCCCTGCACTCAGTTTGCTGGCGAGTACCAGGTATCTTTACCATCACCTCTCTGAAGTGGGAAGACTTTAGGAAACCTGTACAAATAGCTTTTGGGTAGCTGTGAAAACCAGCTAAATCACAGGAAGAATGTAAACCCCCCCAGTGAACTGGCAGTAATTTTACTGTCTAAAACTTTCTTCATATAAATGCTTGCTGCTAGGCCTGAATTGGCCAAGCACTTGCCTCTGTCTTTAGCACTCACATCACACAGGAAAATCATCCGTGGCCTGGGACTGTGCAGGAATGTGATGTAGAGTCGGTATTGCCCCTCTTGTTGCAGCCTCGATGGAACTCGGCTCTGCTAATCACCGTATTCTGCTCCAAGTAAAATACGTGTATGCTGAATGGAAGTATGCGTGCCAGCTCTGGACAGATTTTTCATCATGCTTAACTCTAATCACCTCTCCAAAACACAGATACAGCGTGTTTATGCTTACGGTGCATTTGGTGAAGCCACATGTGCACACTTACTCCTCAGAATGAGTCACTCAAGACAAAGTCAAAGACTGAAACCATGACAGCTACCCAACCTTGGTCCACTAGAAGCTGTGCCATTAGCAATACCAAGGATCCTGCTAGTCTGACCAAGTATCTTTCAGATCCTTACAGCAAGATGTGTATTTAAGTGTCTTTCAAACTGTTTCCATAGCATCACAGCAACAGCCTAGCCACTCCACACAGCAGATGATGCAGACCTTCAGCAGTCACCTTTAACTCTGTACACCTTTTTTTTTCCCCGAGACTTCTAACAAAGCGGGTGCTTCATTCGTGGCTTCCGAAGTAAACTGCACTAGAAAAGCAGGCCAAACTAAAATCCTATTCCAGATGCCACTGAAATTCTGCACTTTTTAAAACTGAAATTCAGAGCACACAGCATCATGACTAGAACAAAAACCTTCCATGCAAAAGCTCTGGGTACTTTTCACTGATTTTACTTTGTTATCTGACACTTCATTCTAAAGAGAAGCAGTAAATCTGAAGAGCATTTGACATATTTTATTATAAATGGTCATCAATACAGAACCAAAGTCACCTTTATAAATATCTACAAAAAGCACAAAGGCAGGTTAAAAAACATTCTCTAGCACAAGCAGAAGGCTCACAGCTTTCAGTTTTTACCTTCCATGAGCTTTTTCTGTTCTTAGGGAATAAATCCTTTCAAAAGGCACTTTTTTTAGGGATTTTGGTTTTAACTTTTACTGTGAAAACAAAGCTCTGATGATTTATCAAAAAGAAAACCAGAAAGGGTAACACACCACCTTTTTGTCCAGTAAATCTGGAATAATCCCACTGTATTGTGGTTTTAACGCTCATTTAACTGAAAAAGGAAACTAGCCTAAGGCGTTTCAAAACTCCCACATCCTTCACTTTCTTGGCATAATGCCTGTCCCCCTCAGTCAGCAGAAGGCTGAGGAAGTCATAAAGGCTTCGTTCCTGTCCATACTGGAGTTGCTCTCCCCCCACATCCGTATCAAAGCCATGTCACAGCGCATTGCAGTCCTGCTTGATAACAACTGTTCAGGGGATTTTGTACCTTGCTAGCTCCCCCCTTTCCTGCAATCCTACATCATGCAAACACACCATCTCATACACAGAACAGCCCCAGCTGTTGCTCTTCAACCCAGGACTGCCAGGAAGCAAATCACAGACAAACGCTGCGGTGTAAGGCGGCGGTTATCTGTCACCCCAGGCAGCAGGGACGAGGTTATCTTCTCTGTCTGCTTTAAGGGAACAGAACACCACCTGTCTGATGTGCGTGTGTGCACGTATGCTGGAGCTGGGGGTAGGCTTGGAGGAGAGGCAATATTGCCCTAACAGGCGAGTACTCTAGGTTATTATTCGCTAACCAGAATTTTCCTTGTCCATCTGCTATTTCTTGTGTGCCGTGCTCAACAGAGAATGAAACCGAAGGTGCTGCCTTCCGGTGTTTTACCTGCATTTTAAGAGGGAACACCTTCGTAGCAGTTACCTGGCACTGCATAAAACTGTGTCCCCAGCCTAACAGAGATAGGAGCAGCAAATTATCTTCCTGTGATCCTTAAACACAAGAGCATTAAAAATCCAACCTACTACTAGCACCAAAACGACAGCATTTGCCTTTCTCTATCTTTTGTCTTTTTTCAAACATATGTCTGTATTACTGACATGCTGATGTGATCAACACTTGGGGCGCTGCTCAGCAACACTTCAGTCAGCCAGCCACACAGGTGAGTATAAACAAAGGGACAGTAAAAAGCAAGAAATAACACTCTGTTCATTTGCAAAAACATCACGCTTCCCATTAGCATACTGTACTTGACCCTTCTGGCTGGAGAGGTGTTGATGGTTTCACTCAAAGCGTCGTAGATGATTGTACAGAGACTGGACATAGGTGAAGACACACATGGGATCTGGCCTGTGACCCATCATCATCATGTCATCCACTTCTATCAAACGATCGCAGTGAGCCATTTTCCTGTAGGAGTAATACAACAGACACAGCAAATCAAGAGTTAAATCTAAGGCCTGTAACTACTTCCAAGATTCACTTGCTGCTCTGAGCATCACTGAGGCATTTAAGAAATCCAGAGGTTTATCAGCAACATTTCATTTCACAATGAAATGGTCAGGCTCAGGTTGGAGATTGTTATTTTTGGTTTGGGTTTTCCCCCACACACACTGATTGTCACATTCCTGACATCTGTAGCTTGTATCCCAATCTCACATTCCTCTGCCCAAGTCTCAGTAAGCAGGGTCATACAAGTTTGCAAAACATGAGTTCTTCTGGTTATTACATAGGCCGCTCCAAAAAAATGGGAAAACACAAGCAATGAGATGTGCCAGTGAAGGCCCATGTGGCTGTAATTACTTGTTCTCTACCAACACATCTTCCAGGTGTGACTTGGACAACAATCTCAGGTGATCAGGATGGAGAGCAGAGGCCTGACTGAGATCTGGACCAGCAAAAAGGCAATTCCAAAAGTCAATCTACTTGCTCCTGCCATTCAGGGGTCACGTTTTTTCCAGAAGCTGGATGGATAGATTAACATGCCTCAAATTCAAATCAGGTATCAAGCAGGTGGGATTGGCTCAGAAACGACAAGTTGTAGACCCAGTTCCTATGGCCTGTCAGTAACACTAGATGCCTTGTGCTCTGTGAACTCAACTTTCTTTTTTATGAGTGATACTGGCAAATTCATTAAGAAACATTCATTACTTCTAGAACAAAATAATAATAATTAATAATAATAATACCCACCAAACACTGAGACAAGTAGGGTTTTATCCTGTTCTGTCCAAGCACAACTCATGAGGCTGATTTCTCAAGCTTAGTGTGTCAGTGCTAGGGCTGGTGAGAATCACAGAGGTGAGAAGGCAGAATTCAAGTACTGCCTGAAGACTGTGAAAGACCTGAACACTGGACTCCAGAGAATTAGCCTGTACCTGGTAAAACCACCTCTGATTTTGCATTGCCAAGACTCCTGTTCTACGCATTCTCTGTTTAGAGCTTTATTATCTTTTTTGGCATGATGCATGTCAGCTGGTGATGCAGGATCTACAATAATGATTAAACTCTTCTGCTCAGCCACATTAAACTTGAACTGGAAGCACTTCACAGAGATCTAATGCGATACTCACTCAGCCATGGTGAAAGCCAGCTCAAAGTTCTGCTTGCGATTAGCTGGATCAAGCTTATTATAATCAAAAGCTTCAGGAAAGAAAGAATGCACAAGAGCACAGAATGCCATCCCATCATTCCAGCTTGAGGAGAAATTCTGGAGATCAATGTGCTGTCGTGATGAAAAAACCATACATGTTAATGCAGCAGAGGGGACAGGGAAGAGCAGCTGCTTTTGCTCACTGCAGTTTTCTGCCCTTCTCCCCCACTAACCAAAGCAACAGTGCACAGGCTTTGTGGTTTTCTTCCCCTCTTTGCATTTCCATTATCTGTATTCTGAGAAAAAAGGTCATGCTCAGCAATGAAAGCCTTTTGCCTGAAATGTCCAGGTGCAGAGCAGACACACAGTCAAGGTCCCTGATCCAAAGCCCACTGAAAATACCGGGAAGAATCTTGTCCATGTCCGTGAGCTATGGAGCGGGCCCAGTGCACCAGCTCAGTATCTGCGGAAGCTAAGGACACTGCTTATCCCCGGGAAGTATTGACAGCTGAAGAATGGTTCATTTTCTGGCTGTAACACAAGCCCTCAACATCAGAAGGATGTTGACCAGTGGGAGCGAGTCCAGAGGAGGCCACGAAGATGCTCAGGGGGCTGGAGCCCCTCTGCCATGGGGACAGGCTGTGAGAATTGGGCTTCTTCAGCCTGGAGAAGAGAAGGGTCCGGGGAGTCCCTACAGGCCCTTCCAGTGCCTGAAGGGGCTACAGGGAAGCTGGGGGGAACTTTTTACAAGGGCCTGTAGTGACAGGACAAGGGGGGACGGGTTTAAATTGAAAGCAGGGAGGGTTAGATTAGATATCAGGAAGAAGTTCTGCCCGGAGAGGGTGGGGAGGCGCTGGGACAGGTTGCCCAGAGAAGCTGTGGATGCCCCATCCCTGGAAGTGTCCAAGGCCAGGCTGGATGAGGCTTGGAGCAACCTGGTTAGTGGAAGGTGTCCCTGCCCATGGCAGGGGGTTAGAACTAGATGGGCTTTAAGGTCCCTTCCAGCCCAAACCGTTATGTGATTCTGTGACACATAATGACAATGCAAAAAATCATGGCCTGCCACTAAGAAAAAAAATGTGTGAGTGTATACTGAAGTTACATCCATAAGCACAAAAATTTAGGCTTTCAAACACTAATGCTTTGCTTTGACAGATGTACAGAATCTCACTCATGCAATCACTGTCTGGAAGTGCTGCCCATGCAAACCACGATGTTTGCGTTACCTGCACAAAACTTGACAACCCTGAGGAAGTGAACTCATTGTCTAGACATGTTTTACATTCACTTTTTGAGTACGTTTTTTTGGCAAATTCTCCTGAAAAAGAGAAAGATGGAAGTGCTTCACCTTGTATCCTATGGTTTTTGAACGACACCAGTCTAGCAGAATTTGTTTAATGCTGCTAGCGCTGGCAACCGCAAAACTCTGCGACCTCTTCAGTTTAGCTCTGGATTGTCCTTTTCCTCTGGAAAATTAACAGAGACCAGATTAAATTACTTCCTAGAAAAACTTAAAGCTACTTGGCAGCAACATCCAGGCAACCTTGCCCAGTCAGCCCCTACCCAGGTGATATTTGAGAAACATGTTACTGAAACTTCAACTTGTTGGTCCTGCAAGAAAAACGTGTTTTCATTTCACTAAAGCTAGGATTCACTAAAGCCCTCTTCTGTTTAAACCACACCCCCATCACGGTGCGTGAAGAAGAGTCCCTGGTTTTGGTACTTAATGCACGGCATTGGAAAGTCACTATATTCCCAGGCTCTTACGATGGAGAAGGAGCTTTCACAGCTCTCTTTCCTGATATAAGGCACCTGCTTCTTCAGCTGAACAGCTCCAGAGCCAGAGGAACCTGTAGCTGTGAATTTCCAGGGCTCAGTCTGCGAGGTCAGCAAAGCTATACACGACCTCATGCTGTCCCTTAGCTCAATACCCTGCTGGGAGAGAGTCCTCCCACCCAGATGTTCTCTGCTGGTAATAACTGACAAATTAGCTTCCCGTTAACAAACCCATTCTGGAGACAAGGGGTGTGACGTACTTTCCACCATCCTGTTCAAATTTCTCAAAAAGTGCTTTCCTGGCCTGTGTTCCTGTAGTCCGTGGGAGCGTCTGAGACCGCACCAGTTCGCGTCGTCTTTCAACCTGGCGATGTGCAGTGGGAGGAGAGGAGTGAGAGCTGGGGGTCACATCACAGCGACTCTCAGTGGCACTGGAGAAACAGAACATGAAAAGTGTGTGGTTAAACTAAACACAACTCTCCGCAGTGCCAGCAGTCAGCATAAAGTCCCAACTGTTGCCTACCCTAAACCTCCCAAACCAGCCTTTTCAAGAGGGCCCGAGTGAGCCAAAAGCAATTTAAGTAGAAGTCAAAGTTTTATCGACAGACTACAGCACTTAAGCATAGAAGAGTCTAAGGTACTTTTACAAATGAGACATAGCTGGACAAGTCACGGATGCTTTACAGCACTGAGTAAAACAACAATTTTGTGGCCAAACAGGAGCACTAAATCCCTTTGATTTCCAATTTTGGGGTTCCTGGAGGGTAAGCCACATTTTAAAAATGGAACATGAAGAATCATTCAGAAAGTACTTTTAAAATTTGTACTTACAGTACACAGAATCCTGAGCTCATGTCAGTGTCAATTCACTGACCGCAAGCTGGTAATTTGAGGGAGAAATTTAGGACTGTATTCTAATTTGTGTTTATTTGGGCCATAAACCAGCTCACCAGCATTAATGAAGTAAGCCACACATCACATTTGGAAATGATCCCCATGACAAGATGGGGAAACTGAGGCAAAGAGCAATGACAGCAGTGTCACACGTTAATTTCTGGTACAGATGGAGGTCAGATCTGGCAGCAAGTTCTCTAGGGTTCTCAGCGTATCATGAATCCAATATCAAAGAGCTGAAGTTGGAACTAACTCAGAAGAAATGCCAAATTTGGGATAATTTCCATGGCAAATGCAAGCCCGATTTAAGAGATTTAAATTGGCTGCCCTCCCATTTTTCTTGATGTGCATTTGATAGCAGTCATATGTTGGTTTCCAAAAATAAGCCCAAAGTACAAATTTCACCACAGCTGAGTATTTTTAAAAGTGTTTTTAAAGAGCCTGACAACTTCCTCCTTCAAACAAAAATCCACCGCTGGCACTGAGGGTTCTACTGACTACACTAACAATGCTGAAGTCCACAGTTAGGTGTGCTTTAAACTGCTCGACAAAAGATATTTATCCCTTCCCATCTCTGTTCCACTTAGCCCCTAGGAAAGCTCACAACCTTTAATGGGCTTAAAATACAGCACCTGCGACTCACCTATTCTCCAAGCCAGCAGCACACCTATCCCTTGAGAGTGTCCTGACCACAACGACCTAACAAAATGTCATAAAAATGCATACCTTTCACCAGTTTTCGTTCCACTACTTGTCCCATAGCTCACAGTTGAGACAGACTTAGTGACAGAAGTGGTATTCTCTGTACAAAAGCAGGAAAAAAGATGCATCAGGGCAGAACCTTCTTTTATCTGCGTTCCTCACACATTTTCAAACCATTCCCTGAGAGACAGCCATGCAGTGATTTTTACACACCACAGTGAAAAGCTGCATGCCTCTGTCTAACTTCCAGTATCACTCACAAGCTGGGAAGGGATTTTGCCCAGGGTTTCAATCCCTCTGCAAACCTGTGGCACTGCAGCAAGGGTGGTGTAAACATACCAGAAAGGGCCACGAGAGGATGCCTTTGATAAAACTGCACTGGGAAGGCTGGATCATTTCAGGTTCTTGTGCAGACCCCAGAGAAGGGCACACTGCCATGGATATTTCAGTGAAAGGAAGAGATGGTGCTACAGCTCAGCTTGCAACGGTCATTCTGGCAGACATATGGAGTCCTGGGAAGTCTGCCACGACTGAGAGCGTAATTTAAATTACCTAATTTCCACCAGGAAACATTTCAGTTTGTAAAGTAGAAGAGACTCCAAAGGTTGCAAAGGTGGCTTGAAATCAGCTTTGCTTCTTCCTCCCCGCACCCTTATGTTCTGCCTTTTGTCCTTCACCCAGCTCTGGACACCAGCTATGCTCTGTCAATGCAGAACAGTGGAGTGGCTTGCCCAGTTTTAACACACTAAAGCCAAAACTTGCCACATAAGCCAGCAACTCATTTATTGAGGGCTCCTTTTACACACGAAGAAGACAGACTGATATCTTAGAAGCAATCCAACCAGATCCCCGTTCAAATCACTCTGAAAATGCTGAACTCTCCCCACTGCTTGTAGAAGGGATCCAGAAGAACTAGACTTCTCACATAAAATACCCTGGTAAATGTCAGCATACACACGTGACACATTTGGGACGAGAAACAATTGCCAGATATTTGTGCAAATCTCCGAGGTTCTAAGCTAAAGAGGCGTGTGATCCCTGTTCTGGATGAGCTACATCTTTGCTAAGGTTGACACTTGAGATCACTGCGAAATGCCAGTACATTGTGTGCACAGTAACAGCCTGGTGACAGGGATCAGAAGTACTTTTGGACAGAGCTCAACTCACCTACTTTGACTGCAACTGAAAATCATTAAAGGCATTTTATGTCCTCTCACACATTCATATATGAAGGAGACTTCTTACTGCTATTCTGCTAAAAGGAATTTGCTTCAACCTCCATAGGGTGGACCCACCACTTTCCAACTGCTATTACCTTGCATTCAGCCACAGTTTTCCCCCTGGTCAGCTGAAATCCACTGCTCAAACTGCCTGCTCCGCCACACTTTTCTGAGGCCTGTTGTTTCCACTGCAAAGGCTGCTTAAGAGCACACATGTACACCACTGTGCAAATAAGGCTGAGTACCACTCGCTTGGAGCTGACTGAGAATCTGATAGAGCAGAACAAGTTTTCACAATACCTGGGAAACTGAATCTGCATGCAGTCGTGTTAGCAATTTTAATAGCACCATGCACCTGCTCATCGGAATGACATGTTCAGATCTGAATTCCCCAGACATGGAGTATGGAACCCCTCTCAATCAGTGCTGCATAAGGACACACTGATAGGAGCACTCACCTCCAGTGGCAGATGAACCCATTGTTCTCACCATACTTGAATTCCAAGCCTTCACTGAAACAGCAGGAAAAAAAGACAAAGGAAGGCTTTGCTATATTCTTAGCTATAGTAAGATAAAAAGATGAAAGAATAATCCCTATCTCTTGCTGGCAATTCCATCTGGTCTCTCTCTGCAATTTCTAACCCATACATATAGTGTGATCTGTAAGTGTCACCGTCACTAAACGCACATGAAATACAGCTCAAAGATGAATGACTTCAATGTAAAATGAAATGAGTTGTGGTTTTGGTTTGGTTTTTTTAACCCAGTTTAGATATAAATAAGATTCTGCAATCACTCTGACTCGTGTATATGTGTCAGTTTGCTGCTGGTCATTCCTCCCTCCAAATGACTGTTGAACCTGTTAGCCAAATATCTGCCTAACTTCTCAAGGGGCCTCAGGTCTCAAAGCACTAAAACTCCTGCAAATTTTGTCACAATAGCTGGTCATATTGAATAGACACTTATTCAGTAACTGTGCTACAGGACAGCCTGCACTATGAACTCAGCTGTATTAGGCAGCAAAAATTCCCAGCAGATGTGATATTACAGCTTAAAGCTCCACCTAGGACCTACAATATCCTAAATCAGTGCCCCATCATGAGATAAGGAGCCGTAGAAGCGAGGTTTACATAATTACCGCTGGTCACAGTACAACCCCTGTAGCACCAGTTTCTTGAAGTAAAGAAATGGGACACAGCTTCAGCAAACATCATTTTTGACTCTTTTACCTGACTGGCTGGAAGTTTTCACTCCCATCGCATTTTTGCTCTTGCTCTGTCCCAGCAGGCCAGCGGACGCATTGGTTGTTCCTGCTTAACTGGTGGTCTCCCCTGAAAACTTCTCTGAGATCCTGGTTACTGCAGTAACGGGAAGGTGGGGCATCTGTAAGGTGACTGCAGGAGCATGGGCTTCAGGGGAAGAGTCCGACGTGTGAGAAGAGGTCAGTTCATGGGAGACTTTTGCCTGACCTAGTGAAGAAAAAGGCAAGAAGAGAGGAGGTAAATTTATTTGCAGATTTTAACAAAGTTACAAACCAGTTTCCACGCAACAACTTTATTTTACAATATTCCACCTAATTATTCCACCTGATTCTCCCTGTGGGACATTACACCATTTACAGCACGCAGTAACAACCCATGTAAGTGATCCTTGCAGCTATCGTACCTGTCCTAGACGAATCTCAGCAAGAACAACTTCTTCAGACCATTAATCCACCAGCATCTGCACCTGCACAACTCCTCTGTGCAGCCCCTGCCCCCAGTCCCTTGCCATAGGTTAGGAGACAGCATTTTTGTTCTTTTCATGGTTTTATGAAATGCTGCATGCCTCGGGTTTCTCAAAAATGGAGATGGTAAGTCCTTCCTTTGCTGAGGGATGATGGAAGCAGACAGGTAATTTGCAAAATGTTTTGGGATGCAAGGCTACAACAGCACCCAGAACAGCAGGCCTTGTGATTACTAGTGCCCCAACATAATGTGACAGCAATAGTCTCTAATTTATGAAACACCATAGCGCACGTTTAACAGTAAAGTTTAAAAGGTAAACTAGCTGGGAAATAAAGGTAAATGGTATCAGTGCCACAGTACAATATCCTTGCTGAAACCACAGCAGATTCTAATGATTCCAACATGTAAGAGCTGCTCTGTGACTGCCAGGATCAGGTATTTTACAATTATTGCTACTTCATTTCATGCCCTGTTCTTACCTGATGAAGACTGATGCCCATTTTCAATGATGGGAGAACTAAAAACTCTTCTAAACTCAGGTTTGTGGTGGTCATCCAGGTCTACGCTCTGTCAGAACAGACAAGAGACACGACAGTCAAATTTCAAACCGCAGCAACAGTTAAAGAACGCCAGAACCCCCTGCCACGAACAGGTCTGCCTTGTGCTAGTGACCACAGCACACGGGGGCAGTTCCCTAACCGCAAGGGCCAAACCTGCACACTGAGCACTGGCAGCGCAGGGCTCCTATCAACCTCCCCATGCTTGTCCCCACACACGCCATCCACCCAGGAGGAGTCTCCCACTTATGTTAGATAAGGGCATCACCATCCCTGTGGAGGTGATAAACAGCGGGGAGATTGAGATTGCATTAAAAGCTCGATGTTCTGCAGTTTTTTTCTGTTTGCTGGAGGAAAAGTATGACATTCAGATAACATTGTAATAGTATTACGTAAAGCACGTATGATCCTAGAATTTACAGCTGCATTGTAATCTGCAGCTCCTGTACGGACAGTTTTGTCCTGGGAAAAGCACCAATTTTTTCCCATGACGTTTACCGATATAATTCCAGAAAAATCAGCCAAGAATTTTTTGGGGGTTTTGTTTGTTTGTTTGTTTTGGTTTGTTGGTTTGGTTTTGTTGGGTTTTTTTTCAGTTGGTTTGTGGGCATGCCAAAAAGATCCAGAGGAACTACGTGATTTTTGGCTGCAGAAACTAAGAAACTGTTTCACAGACACACCATTACTTCAATTAAAAAACGTAGCTTCCATGATGTGGCAAATATAAGCAGTAGAGTGAAATTCCCCAACACAATTTCTATAAAAAAGTTTTAATTTATTCTAGACAGACACCTAACTACCAAAACTTTTATGAATAAAATAAAGGAAAAAAATCTGTAATCTGCATTTAAAATACAAACTTCATATCAACTCAATCCAAACAAGTTTTGGTTTGGGGTTTTTAAGACAGAAAGAAAAAAAAAGATACTGAAGGCTTCATACTGCAGGTGAGTGTAAAAACAACAGAACATAACAGGAAATAGGCAGGGTCTATACACATAGTAACTTTTTCGTCTCTGCTTTTTGTTCACAGGAAATATGGAGCGAACTGGTGGTTTGGTTTTACTTATTTACTCCATAGCTTCATCTCAAATTATGGAATAATTTATTTACAGGGTGGAAAAATATATCTCATGTAAAATACAGAAACTGCATGATCAATCCAAGATAAACCAAAAACAACAAAAAAAAGCAGCTTCTTGGAACTTGTCTGCTGTGTGTGATGCATGTGTTTACACTCACCCCAACTTAATTAAGAACACCAGACAACCACGTTAATGCGCCTTTGAGATTTTTTAAAAGCATTTAATCTTGTTGCAGAGTGCACAGACCATTTTCATGTCCATTACTTGAGATACCAGTACAAGTACAAATCCCACTCAACTCCTGGTAACTATGGTCCGAGATATTGCTAAGAATTTGTTCACCAGTATTAGATTACAGCAAGGCAGCCTGAACACAGCTTCATCGCAGCGTCTACAGTTGTCTCCCAACAGATTTCAATGGAACAGGTGTACAGAGCAGAATTTGAGCTCCATGCCTACACTACTAAAAAGTCAAGGAAAATCCTTCTCTTTTCTTTAAGGTTGGGCCCTACATTCCCAGATCACACTTGGTATCCAGGTTTTTCAAGATGACAGCATAACCCCCATTACCCTGACTACAAGACGAGGACTTACTGCCCTGTAAGCAAGTGCCTTACAAGGATGTATTACAATAAACCACAGAAAGGAATGGCAGCAAGACACTGATACAGCAGAGTCTTTGAGGCTTGGCTTGGACGGGGCATTTTATTCTATTGGGTTGTATAGTATTTTTTAACCTGGGGTCAGTCTCATGTAATTTTTTTCTATGCTAGGGGAGGAAAAGGGATACGATCACCTGGATTTTCAAACAAGGCAATACCAAGTTCAGAAGAGGACTGGAGACTCCCTGAGCATGTGGAAGATGTAGTCTCAGAAAAGACAACTTTTAAAGGTTTCTCAGCCAGGATCTTCCATCTAATTCTCTTGTCTAATTTCTAAGTCAGTGGTCTTCCTGGGGTTCTATATACATGCACGTGCTCCACTAGATAAGAGCACAGAGGTTGTATGATGAGCCAAAACATTCCTTAGTCTGTTTACCATCAAAATGTATAGGAGAGGCTGCCTTTTTAAAAACAAACAAACAAAACCCCAAACCCACACCAACCACCACCACTCAACCAACCAACCAACCACGCACAACACTATGTTTTGGCACAAGGTGGCTTAGCCCCTTAACAAGACCGCCAGATTTCCACTGATGCCCAGTGACGGCGTCGGTGCACCCAAGACAGCAGGAGTCGGAGTGTCCATTCCAGAGCCCGCCGTCAGACACGCTGCCAGCTGGACAAATCAAATCCCTAATTAAATTCAGTGTATCAATCCAAACAAGGAGAATGTTTGCTTTGTTTTAATTTTGCTCTATACTTCTTATTTAAAAAGAAAGGAAAATAAACGAGATTGGGGAAGTTGGAACATTCAGAACTTCTCCCTCTTTCCCAGCACTGATGTTTTCTTACAAGCAAAAGCACTACAGTTCAGCTATGTAGGCTCCACTCATTTTGTGGGATCTCTTCCATTTAGCAGCTGCATTACAACCAGGTTTTCAGAAGAGCTCACATCCAAAGCTGCACTCTTTAGACAGTTAGTCAGCTTAGGCCCAAAAAGAGCCTTCTTTTGCAAAGCCGGTCTGCAAACTTTTTTCACGACACCTCACCAGAAGACCAACTTCTTTAAAATACCATGTGTCTCTCCTGGTAATCAAGAATACTTTTCATTTTTATACCACCTGCTCTCCCCACAGGGAAGGCTTCCACACGCACGCACAGTCTGACTGACTGACGCTAAACTGGATCTGTGTTGTTGCATCCAGATCTTTTAATTTGTGAAAATGTCAAAGTTTCAGAATAATGTTATTTGTCAAGAAGAAGGTACGACGCATGAGTCAATTCAATTATCACCAGCTGCCAGGGTTAACTCGAGAAGATTTCACCAAATATTAATTATACGAACCACAAAGACTCAGGGGTTCAGAACTTTGTTGCTGTATTGTGGTGTAACCGATACCCTAGTAGGCATGTATTACCCATACCCAGAACTGAAATGCGAAGCACAGCTAATGCAGCTCCCTAGGATGTACCCGGGGCATACAGTTAAGCTGTTCTACCATCGTGCCAGCCATTATGACCCAAACATGGTGCGTGCCTGTGCGGACTGTGAACAGGCATCTGCTCTCTACTCCGGGGGAGTGGCAGTGAGCACAACAGGCAAATGAGGTGGGCACTGCAAAGATCACGTAGCATCCTACACCCTGAACTGGCTTCCTAACGCAGTGACAGGTGCTGCATTAATCCGTTTTATGCAAACCTGACTATCTCATTCTGGCCAACAGTGCTGGGGAAGAAACTGATACCAGGCTGGAGGATGGGGAAGGCCAATGTGCTGATAACACATGGGGAGGATCTGGGATCAAGATTCTACTGTGCATTTAGTAGTGTAAGGCTAAAGTACTTTAAAAATCCACTTTGCTTGGAGACGCTAAGCTTCTGACAAACCCGTGTGTGTAACAATACTTTCTGTCAATGCTGTCTACTGTGAATAGCAGAGGGACAGGTACCTGTATCTGTGCTGAATAGTAAGAAGTACTCATTTGTACAACTCATGGAACAACATGATGAGGAACTGGTAAAGTTGAAGAAAAAGATGTTAACGTTAATGTTTTGCTTGCCTTACTCAGGCCTGCTCTTAGAAGTAATCTCTCTGTAGCTCCGAAGTCTCCATGTAATGTAGGAGGATAATGCTTTCCATACTCGTAGGGCTGCTGGAGTTCCTCCTGCATGGCAAGAAGCTAGACCTTGGAGATCCAGTGAAACAGGCAAATATTGTAACCCAGCAGTAAAAATCCCATGCAGTCAGAAAAATTAAGCACCAGATCATGAGATCAGAAAGAAAATAAATACAATTTTTATTTCCTCTCCGAGCCTCTAAGGTGCACGTCTGTTATGTCTTCAAGCTTTTGCCTGCAACAAGGTGAAATTGTGGAAGAATGATAGGCAAACGAGACTCCTCTCTCTGAGACCTGTCATCCAAAGTCTTTCGTAAAAGCACCGATTATCAAAACAGCCATGATAAAAACTACTGGATCTAGAAATGTTTATCTGTGAAAGGTACCTCCCCTCTTGTTACACATGCCAGATGAAACCGATGCTTCACTTTGGTGAACGGCAAAACCATCGCTGACCTCCACAAGGCAAGATTAGAAGCTCTGTCCCCTGCATATAACAAGTCCTCTCCATCTGTAACTGACCCTGCAGCTTGAAGAAAAAGCCCTGAACGCCATAAGCATTTTAGGAAAGCTTTTGCACATGGAGTAACCACTGAAGCAGAACAGCAAAAGTACTTTTCACAGGACCTTTTTGGAAGCAAGGCTGGATAAAAATGGACAGCTGGGAACAATTATACCTTGGCAGCTTCAGCAGGTGCCCACGGCTATGTCACTGTGAATTAAACCAAATCAAACCAAACACCAACAAAAATAATCTAGATCAGGATCAAGGCAACCCTGTAACGCCAGCGTTCCAAAAGAACACTTGCAGGAATTATAAGAGAATAGTAAGAAGGAAATGGAACTACCAGACTTCTATCAAATACAGGAGTTGAGATGGTTTAGCATCATAGCATGTAGTGCCAGGTGACTGCTGGATCACTTTATCTCACTGCTCGTATACCCCAGGTCATTATGCCTCATGCGGTTACTCCCAGGCTGGCTAACTGCTGGGTGCCATCAGGTCACCACAGATAACACTCGTTTAGATCTTCCCAGGTACTCATCTCTCTGCTGCTTTGATCACTGCAGGCAGGCTCTCTGCAGCCATCTCTCCACTCTGCAGAGAAACTCTGCTGGCAGTATAAAAACAGAACACCCTTCCAGTATTTTTAGTCCTCCCTGTTCACAATGGCATCGTGCTCAATCACAAACACTATGGAA